ACCAACTGTACCATACTTTAACTGAGCTTTGACTAAATAAAGAAACCCCTATTTCTTTTTTTTAAAGAACACGTTGGGCGCCAGTTGTAACACTTTTATTTTACGTAAGAAAAATCAATTACCAAAATGTAACCTTATTTGGATTGCAACCTTAGTTCAACAGAGTTTGTTAAAGTGTCCACATGCCCGGTTCGTGGATTCGTGCGCCACCAATTTTTGAGACTAAATCGGAAAAGTCCTGCGATGACTGCAGGTTGAACTAAAGTACAAACCAAATTATTATGCCTGAAATGTAAGAAAATAATTGGATAAGCAAAAGGTAATTGGCAATACAACAAAATCAGTATCTATTTATTGAATATTAAGTATTGATTTAGTACAAGTTATGGTGATTAAATAACGATTATGACCAGTATTCAGAGGCTAGTATGACGACTAGCAGGAATAAAGAACCTAAAGGCTTCCTCATAGTCAGATTTAAGAAAACTGTCTGTCGGTATTGATATGTATGAATACTTATGTAAGCAGAGAGCTATACTTAAAACTAAAATAACCAATAAGTGCGAATTAACACACACCCAGCGTCAGTGATCACTCCGCGAATAAATGGGGTCAAATGTTTACTTAAATGTGAGTAACTAAAGTTACCTAAGCCATATACGATATTTTTAAATAATTAATAAAAAAAAAACACTAAACTACTTAGCTTTATGTCGACAATTAACAATGGGTCTGGGATTTCACACTCGTACCAGATGATCTATCTCATCAATGAAAACTAGTTCGCCGAGTCTTTGCTATTCAGATACAGTGGTGGGTACTGCATACCATCAAAACATCCACTGAGTTGCGTTATCGAAAACGGTAGCATAAAACCGTACCATAAGACCCTAAAGAAAGCACCAATGAGTAAATAAATTACCCTTAAATCCCCATTGAAATTATGCCACTTGGGATATGAAATTGTACGCTTCAATTCCCAAGTTTTAACCCATTTACTAAATATAATGAGTTCAATTCATTAAATAAGTTGCATTGCCAAAAAAATATTAAAATAAAAAAAAACTATAAGTCTACCAATCAATGTGGCATAGAATGGTCCCCCAATAAAACATTAAAATGGAAAATTGCCATTATAATTACCTCGTGGATTTTTGAGGGTCACAGCTCAAAGGTTGAAGGTGAACGGAAGGTCATGGAACTCTAATTTCACCTACGCTGGCTGATCCAATTTGGAAGTTCACAATAACGAGCAACAATAAAATCAAGGCTCTAAGAGTCTAGGCTCAAACAATTCAATCCAAGCGACGTGATGTGATATTCTATTGTGAGAATAGAACTAATTAATTTACAATAAAACAAATTCACAAAATGGTGGACTTACCGACTAGAAGAAATAGATAAATCCCTTAGAAAGGTGATTTGGCTGCCAAAAGGTAACAAAAACCAAAACTAGACTGGCAAAACCAAAATTGAAATTATCTGGATGACCTGATCCTAATTAAATAGAGAAAATCACTTAATTTTCTTTATGGTCAACCGGATAAAAAAACTATTCTTCAGGCCAAAGCCAAAGTGTTCTTGTCGCTGGACGAAATGGAAAAGACCGTTGTACGATTTTTGGGACCCTAAACCAGAAATTTCTAGGCACTAACTTTTTTTTATGTTACATTTTTTTCTATCGAATTCCACATTCCACACTTTAGGAAGGATTGAAAGATAACGACAAAGATATCGATAGTCGTCAGCGAAACCTCCAAAGAGACTCAACAAATGGGACCGAATCAATCCACACTAATCAGGAAAACACTATTCTCATTAAAATCTATAAATAACTTCACTTATTAAATAATATTGTCCATACCTTCTCTGACACGACACCAATTATATCGACATGTATTGAAAAACCCAACCCTACGCGACCAAAACCAAAGTACCAGCAAATTGATCGATATAGGTACTCGATAACAGGTAGATAAAAGAAACGAAATCCTCCAGTAAGAGAGAGACAGAGAGGGAGTGAAAACTAAAGGAATTAATCCTTCGAAATGAACTGGCGCACAGCCGGCGCGAAAATAAAATTGAATGACAATTAACTGGTCATAACCCCTTTTTATTTGAAAATCAAAACAATGTTGGCTATCGACTAATGAAATTGATAATTTATGTAGGTATATTCCTTTTAAGGACAACAAGAATAAGATAACCAGGCATTGTTCAATAAATATTCATCTGCAATGGTCAACTAAATCATTAGACAAATGATAAGGAGCAAAATCTTGTCTGGCTGTGCCTGAAATTATCTAAAAAGATGCAGAGTAAGGTAATTAATATCCAATCAATTAAGTCAGCTCTAAAATAATATTTGTGTGTTACCAGTTAAAACGCTGAATTACTCATTTAATGGGAAGAGCAAAATTAAAATGTTACACCTTTGACATTTTCAGCATATCCAACAAACAAACCTTCTTTACTTTTCATATCTAACTTCTTCCTTTTTTCTTTAGGTATATATACCCATACTTCACTTCCAAAGATACCTTTTATCATATTTATTTCAAAAGACCTTTTATATACCACCTTGTAAGGAGTTTTACCTTGGACGCGACTCATACCGGTTCTATTCAACAGAAAAACAGCTGTATTGGCTGCTTCAGCCCACAAACTTTTTGGTAGCTTCTCTTCTGCGAGCATAGCTCTCACTGCCTCTATTATGGTACGAAATTCTCTTTCCCGGCCGTTTTGCTGTGGTGTATATGGCACAGTAAATTCATGCTTTATGCCATTTTTAATGAATAACTGTCTTACAGCATAATTATCAAACTCAGTGCCATTGTCACTTCTTATTAGCGTAACGAAAACACTTCCGTTTGTTTCGTTACGATGTTTTATGTTGGTTCAAAATATTTTTAATATATCTAAAATGTTGGTATCCCAAAGCCTTATGCCACCGTTTGATATCTTGGTTATTTTTTGAAAAGAAACAATTTTCACCCATTAACCCAGTATTATTCTTTAGACATTGACATGTGTGTTCAGAAATGCTGGACTTACCTACAGACTGGAACATCATTTTAAAAAGCCTATCAGAACGTATTGCTATTACAAGGGTAACATTCTCCTTATTCATAAATTGAGCCTTTTCAGCATCTGAAACGAGATACAAGCCTTTATCTAGAGCCTTTCCTTGAGAAAACAAATTAACTTTAAGTTGTGGCACAAACAGAACATCAAATAATGTTACATGATGAAAACCCTGACCATTATATGCTAAAATACAAACATTACCTTGTCCAACAGTACCGTCACCAATTTTCACAAACTTTGACACTTCTAATTCTTCAAAAAAACAAAATACTTCCCTGTCTTTACACATATGTTGTGAAGCCCCACTATCCATGTACCACTCAACATTTATCTGAGACTGAACATCAGACATTGCCTTTGTAGTTATTGGTTAGCTTATCCTTTTCATCCTTTTTCTTTTTAGGATAACAATCCTTTACCATATGCCCTTCTCTTTTGCAATAGCTACATTGAACATTTCGGTATTGAAATTTTAAATGTCCAACTTTTCCACAGGAAATGCTTATACTTTTCTGGCAACGTCATGATAATTTTTCTCAAAATCATTTTTTCTGGAATTTCTTCTCCCTGTTGCTTGAGCTTTGCTTGCAAATACATAACTTTGGTAATAAAACTATTAACAGTTTCATTTTGGAACTTCAAATTGTAAAATTGCTCATTCAATAAATGCGTACTAACCTCTGACTTTCTTTCAAAAACGCTTTCCAGTTTTAGCCACATTTCCCTAGCAGTTTCGCACTGCATTACGTGAGAAATTATGCCTTCCTCCATTCTGATAACTAGAGCTTCCTGGGCTTTGGCGTCTTTTAATTTCCATTTTGCTAACTTATCATCATCACCAATTGGAGCTACTTCAATTCCATGGGTGATCTCGTAAAGCCCTTTTGCCATCAGCACAACTCTCACCTGAAACTTCCAAACATTCCAGTTGGAATTGTTCAACTTACTCAGTGTGGGAGCCTCCGTGCTTGTTTCCACTGTAGACACAGAAACACAAAAAAATCTTCAGATTACTACCACAAATATGAGCTTGCTGGACCCGTAACCTATTGAGGAAGCTTGTGGTAGTAATAAAACAACTCTTTCTTCGGTGTGCTTCAATAAACTTCTTTAATATGGAAAAAGACAATGGAGCTAAATATGTGCTGCTCTAGATTTTTAACAAATTAATGACACACACTATTTATTATTGTTGTCATGGCACATTTCACTTTTTTTCACTTTCAATTATTTCTCAGCACCAACTTAAACATAATTTTGATTGACCAGCAACAATATCTCTATTGCATGTATTTCGGCTTGGAATACGGTAGTGGTATGTTTCCCTAGCGGATAAAGCCATTTTGCACTTGGGGATAAGCAATTTACTCCGGCACCAGTTCCCCTGTCAGTGTATACCATACTAACTTTCCATTCTGAACTAGTGAATTTTCTGTTTTTTTTTTTTTCCAGTTAATCTGGGTTTGAAATGGTTTGTGAGTATTTATTCTCGAGGTAATATTTCAAGGAAACCAACTGAAACTCCAATACTTCTCAATAATTTATTGTTTCAACTTTTAGGATTGAATTGACAACTTTTACTGAAAAGTCAAACTTCTAACATTTTTTTCTGGCGTCACAATCCAGGTAATGTATACCTAATCTATGTCTATATAAACTGAACAATTACAAAACTATAGAATATATGATTATATGATTTTAGCTCGGATTTTAGTGTATCATAAAACAGAAATCTTAACAGATCTTAGCCTTGCTCTACAATCGCATTTAAAATGTCCTCTTCTTGCGCACCGGTAACATTCAAGTTCCCTTGATTGATTCACAAAAATTCAATACAAAGTTGTTTCTTTCTTCATTTTTGTTGTTTTGATAAACGCTGTTATGCTATAATAATTATTTCTTGTCTATTCTAGATACTCGGACGGCTCGGAAGAGTGGGCCAGAGTCGATGTGAAAAACCGCAACCAGCAAGTGGACTCGGGTCGCGCAAACGTCGAATTCGAACAGCCCGAGTTTGAACCTGAAAATAACAGAAGAGACATCGAGGGTTACGGTTCTGATCTCGAAAAGGATCACGCCTTGCCTACTTCAGCTCCAGCAGCTGATATTCTGAAGAATAATAATAACAGACATTATGGAAACCCCAATAGGTAACTATACTACATACATATATCAATTTATTAGAATTTGAAAATTAAAAGGTAAAATTGTTAACCGAAATCTTTTTGATTCTTTCAGATACAACAATGACAGGATACGACCAGAAGTCAACCTTCCCCACGAGCAGGTAACCGAAAACATCTACAAAACCACAACAACGTACAACCTATTGCGCAACGTGAAACCCACTAAATCAATTTACGGGAAAGCTTCACCGAGCTATATTCCTCCTAGCAGAGCATTTTTCACGCCTCCTCTGCCTCCTGCACTACAAAACCCGTACGCTGACAAACCGACATTACGCGGCACCAATTCGGACAGTTTTGTTAATAGACGGCCTATTCCTCCACCTTCCCTAACACCTGCTAAAGATCGTATACCATTTAGGCCTGATTTGCCTAAAGTTAACATTGAAAAAGCCCCTTCGAGACCTGGTGGTGAAGTACAAAGACCTGTAGGTGTAAATCATGCCAATTCAGAGTCTAAATCTGAAAAGAAAAAGAGCTTGAATACTCCCAGTCAAAATGTACGAATTGGTGAGTTTTACGGTAATAGAAATGACAATGTTAGTAATTTTGAGTATGAGAAAATCAATGTGCCAAGCATTACTAGGATACTGAGTGGCTCTAATGGAAGGCACGATGATATTCCTGATATACTTTTGCGTACAGTTACAGCAACTCCAAATTTGGATAGATCTGAGCCAAAAATAACTAAAACAAGAGCCCCTTCTGCAGAGCCTAGTTTAAAGAGGCAAGATTTAGCACCAAAAACACCTGACTCAACTAGAAATAATAATGAAGACGCTTTGGAACCTGACGTAGTTAAAAAAGAAATGTTGCCTGATAACAATAGGCCGGCTATAGATAGATCTGAAAGTGTAACCGTCAAAAAAGATATTCCAATGCCTGAAAAGAAAAATATTTACGTTGAAGATGTTACAACGCAAATGTCTGACAGTGTTAATTTGCCAAACGTCAAAGAAAAAGAAGCTAACGTTACAGCAGTCGGCTCCGATCAAATTTGGCTTATTTGCTGGAACGTTCATGTCTATTTAGTGGTTGTTGCTTATGTTTTATTAGCAGCCTTCAGTATTTACAAACTCATTAGATACGAAAACGACCCGCACATGTTTTCAAAGTCCTATTTTCTTACCATACATTTAATGCTAACAGTTATTTGCGTGCTAAGAATATTTTATCTAATTTACGATCCATATAATGTTCACAAAAGCTTTTCAACTGTATTTTTATATGATTTCCTTCACGGATTTCCGTTGAGTTTACTGGCTACCACATTTGCAGTATTAATTTTATTCCTATTAAAACGCACCTTGACACATTTAGAAGTCAAAACTCGTCCCGTTGTGCTAGTTGTCTTTGCTTTGCTTCACATAGTGCTTTGCTTTTGTTTGAGCATTTTTGAGTCTTTGGGGTTGGGTCTGGATAGAACATCTTTTCAAATTTGTAAGCCTGTTTTTGTTCTGCTAGCTTGGGCTTTGGGCTTTAGTTATTTGTACTTGTACAGAATCATCAAAAATGTTTTGGCTAAAAAGAGTCAAAATTTATCAGAAATGTGTACTCAGAATATTTCTTATGCTAGCCATATAACCATTGCTGTGGCTTTGTTGTTTATTTTGCTTGGTTTGGTGCAACTATACGCATTGTTCTTTATTAAAGTGGATAAATTTACACAGCCTCATCATTGGATTTTATGGGGATTTGAATTAAGTGTGAGGTTTATTGAGATTTCTATTATAACGCTTTTAGCTATTGTGGTAAGCTTGCGAATGTCTCAAAGAGAAAAACAAGCTTCTGGAGGATTTCCTTTATTCCCTTGCACTACTAGCGACTCTAGTACCGATAATATTTATCCCAATAATTGCAATACCAATCCAAATGCTTTAAATTATAGTAGACAAGAAATGATTTTGGATAATATCCCAACAGAGACTGTGGAAAGACCTAATTTATTGAAAAACGCATTTCAAAATGATTCGTTTGACAAAAAGAGTACATTAGAAAGATATCAAAGTGATTCAGAAAGAAATTCGAACTTTGATAGATTCGAAAGGCCAAAATGGGGCTCGGACAGATTCGATTCCAGACAAAACGTAGATCAAAATAGCCTGAACAACTTTGGCCAGCCTAGCAGTGGCAATTTCGAGCGTTCCGCTCATAATTCTGTTCAAAACTCTATGAGAATCGATAGAGGCTCGGGCAGAAAACACAGCGCTTACGAAGCAGCCAAATATTACACCAACAATGAAGAATACCAAAACGATATTCAACCAAATTCCGAAAGGAATATTTACAGTGAACCCATAGACAACCCGCAAGCGCACCAATACGAGCGCACCAGACACGAATTCGAACGTAACGACTTCGAAAGAAAATCTAGGAATTCGACAAACACCTCAGGGCGCAGATCTACGGGTAGGTCGACAAGAAAAAACCACCCCAGGCCTCATTTGGGCATACAAACTTTGCCGAATCACGACAGAAATCAAACCATGTTGGTTGACGAACAAGGTTTTGTTAGGTTCAAGGCAATGAGGGCCGATCAGAACCATTTTTCGGACGCATAATGTTTGATTCGGACAGGGAAAAAATGTGCTAAGGGCGAGGTTTTTTTGTAAGAGGGAGTTAGATTTTTTTTGTTGTAGTTTTTTTTTGTCAGATGTTTGAAATGGGAATCAGTTACCTATTTCTTTGGGTTTTTTGTTCAATATTAGACAAAGTAGACCATCATTTCAGTCAAATGAATAAAATTTACCAAAAATAATTGATCCCATTTCATATACATAATAACAATTATTCTTGTTTTTTAGTAATATTATGTTCCTTCTTAAAAAAACCTTTCTTTTGTATATTCTTTCTCTGTTTGAGGGTAGACATATAAAACCAAAATATACAAAAAAAGTAATAATAATTTTTTGGCCTAAAAACATCCACAATGTAATACAATATTCTTGTATTGTAAAATGTTCAAAGAAAAATATATAACGACAATATTCCGTTTCGTTTCCAAAACAATTTTATTAGAAAAGCTTATGGAATAATGGCCAAATATTTAACAAAAGTAAATATTTAAACAAAAATAATATTTATTTACGGATTTTTGCTACACAGTTTAGTAGTGTACAGGACGTGGAGGATTTTTCAAATTCGAAAATCCCTCTTGGACAAAATTATTTAAGGTTGTACCTATAATAGTTAGGTAGATACTTGAAAAAAGAAAAATTGATATAATTAAGGCAAAAATACGTTTTTCCCTGTATAAGTGATATAAAAAATACTCTAATACGCATTTTTTTAAAATGTTGAATACAATATTTGAATATTACACTATATGGTTGTTAGATCTATTCGGGTTGGGCGATTATACAGGTAAGGAATAATTAGTCAGCCTAAACTATTATCTGTATACTTGACCAATCAAAAATAAAAAAACAAAGTATATTTAAACCTAGATTATTAAACAAAACAAAAATTGTAAAATAATGAAACTTGCAAAAATGTGTATATACAAAGCAAAAAAGTTAAAGGGCGAATAATATATTATAATATTAATTTTAATTTTTTTACATAACATTTTTGTAAAGTACAGGGTGAAAATTATTAAAAGGCAGCTAACAACTGTATTTAGCTTAAATGCGGTAGCTGGTATTATGCTATCGTGATACACACAAAAAAAAAAACATTGTTATATAGATATTTAAAATTGTAGGAATTAAAATTATGGAGGCAATGTTTTTAGAAAATTCAATAATCAAATTATACATTTTTTAAAAATGTTGTCTCGTTGCACCATAATAAATGTTTTTCGCTCTATATTATTACTATTTGACTGGTGTATTTTTTAATCTAATAAATAGGTGAACATTTACATTAGTAGACCCTGTATATCTGTTTTTTATTTATATAAAAATTTTGACTGAATATATAAAACTATTATTTATTATTATATTTCGAAAAAAAAAAAGAAAAAATTCAATATTACCGTCCCAAGGTGTTTTTTATAGAAGACCTTTAGAGTTTTTTTTTCTGAATAGGAATTTATGAATGTTGAAGAATTTACTCAAGAAACCATAAGGAGGTACTGTTGATAATTTGGCATAATTGACAACTACAATAATGCTTTTTTTTTGGGGTGTCCTCTGAGGGCTTGTTAAAAAAATCTATAGTCTGTTTCATTGTAGTTGATAGCTCAAATCAAGGTTTATATTGTGGAAGCTTGTGGTAGTAATGAAACAAATTTTTCTTCAGTGTGCTTCAATACACTTCTTTAATATGGAAATAGACAACGGAATTAAAATGTGCTGCTCTAGATTTTTAACAAACTAATGACACACTTTATTGTTGTCATGCCACATTTTCCATTTTTTCTCAAGACCAACTTAATTATTTATGATATAAATTCAAATGATATAAGTTCAAAGGGACAAACTTCTCTTTTCACAAAATAAAATGTCACTTTTAGCACTCAGTGCTAAAAATAATCACTTTTAACACCAGTGTCAAAAAATGCCATTTCAGACACTGACAGCATCCGTTAAAAATTACACTTTTAATGACGTTCGTAGAAAATAGTTATTTGTTCTACTAGGCAGAAAAGTACAAGATTTAATGCCGCGGCTGGTGTTTCATAGCCGAGGCTAGGAAACCAGCCGAGGCATTGAATCTGCTTTTCTGCCATGTAAAACATATAATTTTTTCTCCGAATGTTCAAATTCACACATGGATATCTTTTTTTATATTTATTTCATTCATTATTATTATCCAAATAATTAAATTATTTTGACAATTGTCATTGTCACCATCAATTTCAAATACCAAATTGAGTGAAATTATTACCTGGAACGTTGTGACACTGTCACTTATAATGCCACAACAGCTCAACTTTAAACTATTATTACTAACCCTGAATTAGACTCTCGAATTCCCAATTAAACCCCTTGACAATAGTTATATCATCTGTGGTTATATCAAATTTCATCTTAATTGTCAGTTACGACATTACTTTTCCGACCTGGCAAACGATGGCATTCCAAACATTATAAAACTACAAAAATAAAAGTAACTAATCAGAGTCTAAGGGCCGGTATTTAAATGTTACCTCAAAATCAAGACTTACCTAAGGTACCCGTAACTATAAGGTGGACTTGAAGTCAGTCATTCAGGTGGCTTGAGTTTCACCTTGAATTAAGGGAACTTTGATATACGGTGAAACTTGTATTAAGAATAACTTAACGTTATTCTGTACTTTGAGGTGACATTGAAATACCGGCCCTAAAACAACTATTCACTTTCACAGTTTTAGCAAAACGCAACAACACAGACACAATACACCACAGTTTACAATGCTCATAAACCTATCAACTGCAATGAAACACACTATAGAAAAAATACCATCAATTAATCCCATAGTTTCTTAAAATCAGCACATATTAATTGACAAAAGAGAATGCCAAATCATCAATAGCATTTCGTTCCAAGTATCTAGATGCCGCTTCGCAAATTGTGTTAACTATATAAGAAAATAAAAGCTCTCGGTGTAATTGTCTTTTCTTTTGCGCAAGCACCCTTAAAAGAAAAGGACCTTCTTGTATTGTCGCAAGCTTTCTTGGGTTACCTTTTAAAGGGGGTGCTCCAGATATTTTTTTTTCTTTTTTGCGTTATTTTTTTAGTTGAATTTTTGACGTTACACTTAACAAGAGAAAAAAGACGCTTTGTTGTAAATTATTTGTATATAGCTGTATTTAAAATTATATTGTATCGATTGCCACAATTCATACACTTGCCATTTTTTTTTTATAACTACTGGACTTACTAAGGCTTTATTTTTTTTGTACATTTTTTTTACAGTATTATCCACATAAGTACGTTTTATTGTGTATCCTAAATATTTTCTACAACATTCCTGTTTGTTTCTCAGCGTGTGTGTTATATTTTAATAATTGTTTGTATAATTTTTTATTAGGACTGTTTAAAAATAATGGATTTTAATCTTATTATTTCTAAATGGTCCTATTTGAAGGCAAAATGGCAAATAAAATGTGATATAAAGGGTTCCTCGTGTCGGTTTGCTAAACGAACCCTGTGTGGCGCATGACGTTGTCATAAACCCCTCCCCATTGTATATAAGAGACAGTTTTGTTCCTTTTTTTTTACAAACGTACTTATAGGCAGCTTGATCCTCTCCATTTATTGCCAGTATAATTATTTAAATATGCTCTCTTTTTGTATTTGATAAAAAAGTTTATTTTTATGTCACTGTCTATCTGCAAGAAAAAAAAAACAAATCCGAGCATATATAGGTAAATGTTTTTTAAAGTTTGTAAGAGACTGTGTAATAGATATTTGGATTTTTAAAGGTTGTCCAACTTTTTGTATATAAAGTGAAGGTTTGCGATCTTTTTTAAAAATCGAAATATTTATTTTATATAAGTGATCGATTTTTTGTTGTATTATATAACTGTAAAATATAAACCTATGATAATATGTGTGCCTGTGTTTTTATTTTGTATCCCTTTTCCCTATAAAGAAAAGAAATGCAACAAAACCTTTTGGTTTCAGGTTCTCAAACATTGAAGGTTGGCAAAATATCTTGTTCATTTATAATTTTCTTCTATAGTATATGGCTTACTTCTAACCAGCTCATAAAATGGTTCGTTGTGGAGTAAATAATTGCTACTCAAATTAATCAGGTACAAATTAAAATTTCATGGAATTACATACTTTGAGTTTCTATTGGACCATTTAAAATGACCATTAGTTTTCTGTCTAGAGGGCTCTAAAAAAGTTGAAACTCATATCAAAAAAATGTCCCTTCAGTGTGGCTCCTAAAAAAAAAGTTTATGTGTCTTGATAAAATTTTCCAGAAATAAACTTCTTTAGCTCGTCCAGGCTCACAGAGAAGCCTATTGAAATTCAGCAAGGATCGGCGAATTTATCGTGTCAAGTTTAGAAAAATTGCAAGCTAGACGTTTTTCATTTTACAGGATCTTGTTTCATAGACTCTAGGCGCAGCTAAACGGTTTAAGAAAATCCATTTAGAAAGCTTATTCAGGTTTTTGGTTGTAGCCCAGAAATTGGTCAAAATCTCTTAATTTCAATTTCTCATTAAAATGCTGTAGGTATAGACAATTATTAGGGTTAAACAAGAAATGTTTAATAAATATTGGGCTGAAAAACCTCCTCGAGTCTTGATGATGATAGTTGTTTTATGTATAGGATATATAATTGAGAGGTCACCATTCTCACAAAATTTGAAAATTCGTCAACAAAAGAGATCACTAAGAAGAAAAGTTACAAGTACAGACCTACTGACCGATTAGGGACATAATAAAATTCCAAGTTTAACCGTTAAAAAAAAAACTCTGGCCTGGCCAAATTTCAACGTAGAACTTTCAAGAATACTTATTATTGCCTGCATCCTAATTTATCACTGACTTTTCCCTCAGTGGCCGATTCCGTTTTATAGTGTGTCGTTGCATCTAGAATTATTTAGATAGGTATAATTCGCTTTCCTTCGTCTCGAATTCGCTGGATACTAATAGGAAGTGAGAAAAGAGTACCTATCTAAAAGGCCCTCGCCAAATAAGTATGAAGCTCTATATGAATGATCATTTTCTGAGAAATTCAAAATTGAAAATCAAAGTTTTTAAATTCTCAGAAACGTTGTCGGACTGTCATTTTATTCCTAGATAAAATTGAACTTTTTCAGGCATATAGGTATTAGCACAGTTTATTAGGTATAAAAAATGTTCTCCTCACTGGTTTTTCTAAAAATTATCAATAGTAATATAACTATATAGCGCAATGGAAATTATTGATAATTTTTGGGAAATTTGCCCGAATGCATTTTTAGTTGAAAAAGAGCACGAGTGCACATAGTGCACGAGTGCCTTTTTCAGTTAAAAACGCATGAGTGCAAATTTGTCGAAAATTATAAACATATTTCCATTGCACGAGTTGTATTTAATGAGAGAATTTCATAAATCAAAAATTTAAATTTTTTGTCAAAAAATGTCAAAACACCAGTTTTCGCACCAGTTAGTAAGCAATTATCTGATAATTTGCACTAGTGCAAATTATCGCGTAATTACAATCTGATTGGTTCAAATCAACAATCAAAACAAGTCAATTTATTGTTGGAATACCAGTTTTGACAGATGTATGAAATTCTCAGAATATGAAACAGTGCATTTTCATTATTTGACGTATTGGAAGTTGATTTTCTAGAATTTTTTCTATACCTAATTGTTTTTCACTGGCTCAATTTGAATTTTCAATATGATGAGCCTTCCTCTTTTTAATCCAAAAGTTTCAAAATTTTCCCCTCACTGGTTCCTTTGAAAATCATCAAAATTTGAAAGAGTTATGCATTTTCATTATTTGACTTTTTAGAAGTTGATTTTCTATAATTTCTTCAGTTGTTGTTTGCCACTGGATCAAATGGAAACTTTAATATGATGAACTCCTAACTTTCCTGATTTTATTCCAAAAGTTTCAAAAATTTCCTTTCATCATAGTTTTCCTGGAAATCTTTGAAATATGAAACAGTGCATTTTCATTATAGTACTAGCGGTTAGTCCAAACCATTTGGCAAATTTGTCTAAAAGCATGAAATTTGGCAGAGATGTATTTTAGGCTATTCTAAGAGATTTGACCCGGAGGGCCAGCCCAGTTTTTGACTGTGACTCAAAATGGCGCCTTTTTTTCAAAATGGCGGAACATAAATTGGTATTTCTCATTTGTCAACAAATTCTAGCGTTCGATATGTCGTTTTCAACTAATTTTGGGTCGTAGAGTTCATAAAAAAATTTAGTTTTTCCATTAGGATCAAAATGGCGCCTTTTTTTCAAAATGGCGAACCATAAATTGGTAATTATTATTTGTCAACAGATTTTAGTGTTCAAGATGTCTTTTTCGACTAAGTGTGGGTCATAGAATTTTTGTGTTTTCGTCATTATGGCGGCCATTTTTCAAAATGGCGTACCATAAATTGATAATTTTTTTTTTTTTAAAACTCTTGTAGCGTTTAATATGTCGGTTTCGACTAATTTTGTTTTTGTTTTTGATTCTGTTGAGAGTTTATTAAAAATTAGTGTACAGGGTCGTCAAAAAGTAACTAGAATATGGAGACCCTTCAGAATGAGATCACGAAAAATTACTAGACTAAATTTTTCGTGATCTCATTCTGAAGGGTCTTCATGATTTTCACTAAAAAGGAGTAGCCCGTATATGTTTTAAAAATTTCCAACCTAGTCAATTACCTCTTGTTTAAACATGCATCATTGCATTTGCACTGAAGTGTGCAAGGTAAATCTGTGCGTCGACATGAACAACGTTGGGAATCACAGCCATACTTGCAGCCACACTTTTCCAACTCCCTGCATGCTGTCCATATGGAAGTCAGTTTTGACCAAACGGGTTCCCACATTTCATTTTGTTTGGTCCAACTCCAAGAGCCTGGAGAAGGGGAGCACATTGAAGCATCTACCAAAGATTTTGGCATGCTTGATATGCGGCTCGGAGACAGTGTTCTGCGAGTGTTGCTGAGCTAGGTGGAATCAGATGTAAGGGTCTATTTCCAGTGCAGACGAGCTGTTTCCGTAACTGTTCAACTTTTCTATATTCTGAGGTTGCGGAGTATGGCTCCGAAGTAAACTCTTCCAAAAGTGCCTGAATGTGACATGGAATGTGGTCGTTTGGCAAAGATATAAACTTTAAGGCTTCGGTTGCCGACTCACATGCCATCCATGTTTTCCATGCTCCTTTCTTGCCTTTTCCACTGAAAAAGGATAGACTGTCGCACCCAGTATACGCATGAAAGCCTCTTAAGCCCATACATTTCTCCGTACCTAGCTCATTAGCGATGTTGTGGGTTGCAATGTATCTTCGTTTTCTCCCAGACCCAAATAAAATCCACCACAGTTGTTCTAAACCCATAGCCTGAAGCAGATATATATGAATGAAATACACAATACCACAACATCAGTATCGACTGTTCGAACTATGACCTTTTTGGCTCCACTTCTGGCCATGTCTGATGCATGTAGCAAAATTCGCCCGACTTTCTCCTCCCAATTCTGGCACGATTTTCCAGATAGTTCAGACAAAATATTTTTGGAAGCCATAACACCACCAATATTTGTGACAGTTTTCAAGTTTCCTTCTTCCACTAGACCTTTAGACAAAAGTACAAATAAATCGCTTTTGTTTTCAGAGAGAGACGCAGACGCAGAATGCACAGAGCTTGGTTTTGAATTTCCGTGCTAGAGTGGGGGGCGCGGAGAAGGTGAATGATGTTGGGAGTGTGCTACTAATATTTTTTTGAGAGATCCTCTTTGTATATTTTTGAATTGTTGTTATAGAGGAAAAGTTATAAGTGTAACAATTATGTTAGGGGTAAAAACCCTAATAGGGGAAAGTACTCTGAGATGGCATACTTTTTGAAAATGGTTTATAAAAATTTAAATTTTTCTAGATGAGAAAAACCAAAAATTTGTGCAAACAATAGGACCTATTTTTAATACAAAAATGTTCACAACAACTGACTGAGATGTTTATTAACCTTTAAAAAAAAATAAAACATAAACTCTTACAAAAACCATCTCACCCAACCCCTATGGGTGAGATGGCATACACCTCAAAACTAATGTACTTTATTTGCAAATATCGCAAATTATATTTTTCGCGCTTCTAGCTAGGCCAATACACTCTGCGTGGCACCATTTTTTGCACATTTGGCAACGTAGCCACCATTCCCTACTTCGTGACCTACTGTATGGTTCAAGGCAATAAATGCAGGCTGGATCTTCTTCCTCTTCTGATCCAGAATACTCCGGCTCTTCTTTTTCACTCACAGAAGACGAAGACAGGCGGACTTTTCTCTTGGCCGCGCGAGCAGATTTTCTTAAAACTGGAGCTTTTTTACTAGCCACTTCTTACTTCAGTTCTTCAATGTCTGGCGAAGTATTGAGAACTCCGAATTTTCCCTTCTTTCGATTGGATCTAATTGTAAGAGTTGCCTTCGACAATGGAGAAATTTCGGATATGCTTAGGTCCTTGGATGATGAAGGACCAGGTTGTTCTTGGGCGGCTACTGATGAAAGTCCATTTGGGTCTTTTGGTACCACAGGCTCTTTGGATGATGAAGGACCAGGCTGTTCTTGGGCGGTTACTGAAACTTCATTTGGCTCTTCTGGTACCACTGGCACTGGAACATCAGTCACATCCGCAGGTGCAAACATGTAGTCCGGAAAAATATGTTCATTGAGTGGGAATATTCCAGCAGACGTGAAACCACTTTGACCATTTTTTATTGTTGCAGCTCGCAGATACGCTGAGTTATCGTTCTACCAGGGTGGCTTTTGAGCCAAATATCTAATTCTTGATTATAGAACGTGTTCAATGGCCCAAAGAAACTAACGTTCAGCGGCTGAAGCCTGTGGGTGCAATGTGGCGGAAAGCAGAAAATTACGATGCCATTCTGCTT